TAAAATCTCATAAAAATGCAAACGTAAAAACACAAATAATCCTTCAAAACTTTAAGTCTGACAAAAAGGTCAAATCACATCGATAGTATAGCCTTAACTACACACCATTGGTCGTGTTGAACTCAAATTTGCAAGTGTTTCGCGTTTAGGTGCCGGAGACGGATATAACAAATAGTGGGCGCTGACGTCCTCTTAAATAGGTAGAAAAATGTGCGTATAAATTATTATTATCGGTTGTTATTGCTAAACATCGTAATTATGTTATGGTATGTGTTTAAGTCTAAAATTTAAAGTGTAAATGAGTACAATATTCTATTATTAACGTGATATTCAAATTTACAACGGTAAAAAAAAAAAAAAGATACAATAACGAACTCTTAACGACTAGTCAAAACTTTTCTAATTGCTTATCAAAATACATTATGTAGATTAAAACATATTAATTATTTCACATGTACCAACTTATATATTAATATTCGTATTAGATGTATTAAACAGAAAACCGGGTTTATTGTTTGTTAACAGAATACTGATTCTGAATCGTTTGAATCTTTTTGACCTCTCGTATAATACCCTCAATCCTTTTAAGTCATACCTATCGCACGTTCGTACAATTTCAATAGGTGTTGGTCGTTTGATGAATACCTCGGATTGATCCAAAAAAACAGAAAAACCATAACTATGTAATACGTTCACAGTCGTCAGATAATTTATTCCAAATCGATTTCCCCTCAATACATCCATTGCCTTTTTTTTATTATATGTATTAAACATATTTTTCGACTTTCCCAATTCGCTTGTCGAAGTTGGCGCAAACGTAAGTACATTATATACATGCATAACTTATTGATTATTAATGCGTATATCTCACACAATGTCTTTTTATTTATCGTAATTGCTTTTAAAGTATAATGCGTAAATGATAGATTTTAGAAATCCATAAGTGCAAATTACAAAGACAAAACAAATTTTGATTAACCTGGCAGACACTCGACTTGTTTTCGTTGTTCGTTTGAGCGTTAGAGAAATGTTAAGTACATATATCTATAAATAGATACACCGAGACTAAGACAAATAGGGTTGGATTGATGATTACTTTAAAAAATATATATTTTATTACATATATACTACTATCGAGTAATGAATATACCGTGAACACATTTTAAAGGCAATTATTTATTTAAAAAAAAAAAAAAAAAAAAAACTTTGTGAGAATAAAGTGTATCATTAAACGAATAATAAATATTCTTAATAAATTCTGCTTTTGCCTGTAACAATAATACGAATTTTTCTTTGATATCCTTAAAACTATTTAACAACAAAGTTATTTAAATACTTCTAAACCTCGTAAAAGTATACAACATCTCTAACGATACGTATGTACCATTTGCATGCTGACTTTGCAGGGTTTAACAAAAAAATAATAATCATAAAATTATATCTAAAAGAACTTAGAAATGGCAAATGGATTTCAACCACGAGGAATTCGTAATAGTCTTACGTAAGTATTAAACGTATAATAATGTTAAATTTTACGATATTCCGAAGTCATAAATACAGTCTACAGACAAAACATAATTCCAAAAGTTGTTAGCCTTATACGCGCACAAAAAACTTATATACCTCCAGAATGATTCGCCAAGCATATTTACTCTGCTTTGGCCATTTCCCTTCTTAATAATGGATTTAATGAAGTTTTTATTTTTATAATTTTTTAAGTGTATCTAATCAATGATTATATTAAAAAAAAGTTATATTTTATGTAATTCAAGCATTGTTCTGTAAGTTCTGTTGATGTACAAACTTTTATTTTCATTTGAGAACGACCCTTTTTTATTTTTTATATTTTTTATACATTTGAAAATGTTGTTGCACCTATATATTCGAAGTTATAATAACTTAAAAGAAGTTTCTGAGTAATTCATTAATTTTCTGAGTAATGACACTAATCCATAGTAAGTTTTGAAGATATGAGTCGTTTAATGTTTTAAAAATAATAGTAATTAGTTATTAGTTTATTGAAACTTTGTAATTTGAAAAGATTTTCCAATAAACCGAGTATGTTTTAAGAAATAAATAAAATATTATATCTATTTTATATAAAACCATTAGAAAGAACTATTATTCTTATGCCTTAGTACACGAAGTTTAATAACTCAGAAACTAATGATTTGAATTTCGATTTAGATGCATTATAATTAAAAAAAAAAAATCTCAAGAATAACAATTTGCAGTGCAGTAAAAATGGTAGTATTTTTTTGAAAAAAATAATCTTCTGGTCGTTAAAGATCATCGAAATCTAAGTACTTGAAAATATGGTCTTTTTAAAGTATGTATCTACTTACAAAAATGACTAAAATTAAAATTTTGTGTAAATATATTTTTAAAAGATAAAATAAAAGGGGTGGCTGTATCTTTTAAACCACTTGTACACCGAGATTGCACCTAATCGCTATTATACACATATAGTATGTATACTACTTAGAGCAAATAATAACCATAAACAATTTACTAATTAATTTAAAACATGAGAGGGAGGGGAGAAATCTAATGTGTAGATTCAATTACACCGCCATTTTATAAGTTAGTAAATTTTCGCGATAATATGCTCTATAGCTGGTAATAATATAGATACACTTATACATCTGCTCTTCAAAGGTTTCCAATTATGAACTCTTCGCGGTTCGATCTCAATGAAACATGAAATAATATTTACGTTGTATAAGTATTACAGGAGGTATATATGCGTAAATTTAATTGAAAACGCGCAAAAGCCTGTACACACACATACACACACACACACACACTATTATATATATATATAATAGTATAATACACAATATTATTTAGTGATTATTTTTTTTAATCACAGAACTGTCATTTTTGAACATTTTATTTTATGTTAATAAATTGAATTTATTACATCATTAAGTTTGTATAGTTATCATTTTTTTTTTTTTTTTTTTTTGAATTTCTTAAATCATCACCTTTTATTTTAATTTAATATTCTGAAGCGGAATTTTATTTGTACAGACAAATCTAATTTCGAACCGTGAACAAAACTTAAAATATTCTTAAGTACCTATTTAAATTTAAGACAAGAAGCGGAATAGTACACCGTAAGCTTGCTGGTTATCTAAACCTCGTGTCATTCCGTTCCGCTCGTCTATAAGACTGTAACGCTATTGTGCCTAATTGAACATTGGCTCGAAAATGTACGATTTTCATTTATTGAAATCATCTGACAATTATTTCTCGGTCGGGAACGATACGACATTCAAAAATGTCTATTGTCTCGTTTGAAATATTAAAAAATTTAAAAGTTTAAAAGACGATAACAAAAAGTAAAAAAAAAAATAAAAATATTTTTACCGAGAAAATGACAGTTTAGTGATGAAAAACCACACTGTGCATTATAATTATTAAATGTAAACGAGTGGAAAGTTTTGCTCGGGCTTACACCGCGGGGGCAGAGTACAACCAGGGAAAGTTGTACCGACTTAGGTGGTATTATTATTATTGTTATTGTTATTATGTAATCGGTATGTAATGTGCGTATCGCGTTATATTGGCTTACTCGCTGTATGTCCGAGAGGGTTCGTGTCTATGAGATTATATTGGACTTTCGCGTGAAAGTGCAAAAAAAAATCTGCTGCTGGATAAAGACATACACTCCCTCGTCCCTCGATCTCTTTTACCCCACCGGTCACCGTCCGAAGTGAGCGTGTAACGTACGGATAATAATAACGATATTGTACGGTTCAAATATTTTGTTTTTACGAGTCACAAAATTACGACCGAAATTTGGCGACCGTTGAACAACGGCGGCGGTGGCGGTGTCTACGGCGTAAAAAGAATTAACTAGGTCGGGTCAGATAATATATGTTGGGACCTGGCAATAACGTCGATTTCACGACCCGCTGGTCATGGCTGATATTGGATTTGGACGGCGGGGGTGGGCGTCGTACGCGTACACACGAGGAGGCGTTGGCACTCGGTTGCCCGAATTCTGCGAACCGTGTGATTTGGACTAGAAGCAGAGAGAGAATATAATAATAATAATAATAATAACAGAATATAATATAATATATATACGTCGTACAACATCAGTCGCACGCCGCCTTTAAACCAAGTAATTTCCGCGTGTGACGTGTGACATAATGTTTTTTTTTTCCCCAAAAATATTCGATAATTCGACGACGACGTGTGTCGGTCTTAGATTACGGTGCGGCCCGCGGTGTGAATGACCGACTTTCGCAGCGAAAACGCTGTAACGCCACTGTTGCATTGCACACCAAGTCTGGTAATTCGCATGGGCACACATCCGCGGAGGACGTTTTCGGATCGGACTTATTTTTCTGTTTCCCTCTAAAAACGTACAAAAAAAAAAAAAATAAAAAAAAAATAATAAAAAACATTTTTCTCTCCGACGCCCGCGGTCTATTCACAGAACTAGTATTTCGAGCTGGCTGAACACCGCGTGGATGCGCGTGACGACAGTACTTTTCTGGTGATTATCTCGGGTTAGCGCGAAATCAGGACGGTTCACGCGAAAAACGCCGAGCTAGATCGGCCATAGACGTGTGGGAGGCGTAAGTGGGCTGGGGAGAGGGAGGGAGGGGGATGGCAAAAAATGAAATCCCATCTCATCAAACTATCCTGTAGGTTTTGATACGCCTTATGTCTGTATATACATACGTATGTTGTACCTCGATAGATTTTTCGATAATAATAATTGTCACTCTATAGTCTACAGTCACACGACGAAGCCGTTGAACACGTATTTTGGGGGGAGGGGGTACTAAAAATCGTACAGACGTGTCGGCGTCTTGCTGTACCCAAGCGTGGGGTACTGACCACCACGTGTAGACCAGGCGTAACGCTACGCGGCAACCGTGGTATTGGTATATAAGTCAGTGGAGGTATATTATTATGTACTTATTATAAGAGGCACGTGCGATGATGATGATGACGGTGATGACGATTTCTCGTCCGAGCCGCTTGCCCGCTGCCGATCAGACGGTGGTGACGCGATCGTATTCGACGTAGTGCACTACGTCGTTGACCTTATGTCAGTAAACCACGTCGCGCCCGGACACGACGGCCTCCGTCTCGGCGGACTTGGCGGACATGCCCCGGCATCCGGCTGCGGCGGACGACGACGACGACGAACGGAACCGCCGGAACCACAGGACGGTGAGCCCCGACGACACGGCCACGATGACGATGGCCACGGTCAGCGCGATGCTGTACACCAGGTGCGTGTACAGCAGGTGCATGCAGTACGCGAACGATTCGTCGTAACCGGAAGGACAGTGTTCCACGCCGTCGCACCACAGCGACTCGTTGATGCACGCGTTCAGTTCTGGACACTGGCTGTGGCAGTACGGCCCGTCGGCTCGGATCCTGTTTGTCGGTTCCGGAAAAAAAAAGAAAAACAACACGAAACGGTATATTAACGGTACCTATATAGTATTATACATGGGCGTCACCAGCATAGGCGCAAATATCGGGGGGGGGGGGGGGGCTAAAACCCCCCTTTAATTTTTTTGCACGCCCCCCCCCCAAATATTAATGACTATCGTCTGTCAGTCAATATTATTGTTATGTATTATAATTTTAAGGTTTTTGGGATGGATTTTGACTTCAGCTAGCACCCCAAACTTCAAACATTATTTGCGCCTATGGTCCCCAGACATTTTTCTAGGGGAGAATAGGAGGGATTTATTTAAAAATAAATGATGATTTTTTTTTTTTTATACATTTTATTTATAGTATATTATTATGTTTCGTCATCATTACATTAAATTATTACGACTAGGAAAGTAACAAATTAGTAAATTAGTTAAAAGCAATTGACCGTAAAATCGTTACTGCTAATAATAATTATTCACCAGTGCCGAGACACATCATGAAACCGTGTTCGGTGCCGGGTGTTTTTTATGCGCTTTAAAAAATTATAAAAACGAATATATCTATAATTTATATACAACAATTCAGGGCCATAGTCAGAGCAATGCAAACGCGGTTTCTTTGCTCTGGTCCCAACACTTTTTGACATAATTATTATCATACTTAATAACTATGACTTATGAGTAATATACACAAACTATTGTTTTCAAAAATTAAAGTTTATTAAGTATTTTTTTTTAGTTTGATTTTAAATTAATCATGATTATTTAACATTTATAAAAAATTACAATAATTGAATTATGTTAAGTTCAAATACCTAGTAATTATTTGGTTATCGTGTGGAAAAAATAGAAACGCGGTATGTGTGTGATCGTATACACGCATATATTTATATTAGCATTTCTGTCTCATTAGTTTTACTAATATCTAAGTAATTGCCCAAAATTTAAAAATATTTTTAATTGGTCGTAATTTAAATTAAAATATTTAATAAAGCCTAAGAGTGACTACTCAGTTAATATTTATAATTTTACATGCGCGTTTCTATTATTGTTTCGTCGCAATCGTGTTTGCAGCAGGAAATTGTGCTATTATTTAAACATACTGTTTTGAATCTCGTTGTCGTATTGTATACACGATAAAAATAAAACTACATTTTTAAGCAAAATAAAAATTGTCACTTTGTGCCTCTTCGTGTACAGGAAATAGTAAAAACGATACGCATGGTACCACAATATTACATAAGGGTATACTGCAGACCTTGTTATATCCATAATGTACGAGTCAATCGCATTACACAAGTAGTAGATTTCTTTTTACGTTTTTGAGGTCGACTAAGTCTCTCTAAACCTCGTACTGTATATTATTGTAGATATAATACAATTTATTTTCTGTACTTTTACGAAATCAATACAGTACGCTGTACGTAAAATTACAGATAAAGAAAAAATACGAGACATGTATATACATGTCATATAGAGTCATTTAATTTTTGTTAAAACGGCAACCATATTCAGGTATCTATTAATTTGAACTTATATAATTAACAATCAAATCATACATTTTCAGTAATTTTATAGTATTTTGCGTTACATTTTTATAAAACATAACATTAACATTTTTGTTTAGTAATAATATTATAAAAACAAACGAAATATTATCGATCGCTTAACTGGGATATTTATTTATTTTTATTTTTTAAAAATCTCAGTTATGATACATTGCGGAAACACTTAATTATATTATAAAATATACATTTGAAAGGTATAAAATGCTTGCTGGAAACATTTTTTAACGACCTAGTCAAACGAGTCCCTAGGTCCCAATTAGAGTTGGTTTGTAATTCATGAGATATTTTGAAATTTTACACAACACTGGTTGCATATTTTACTATATTTATTACCTACGTAGTTTGGGTATTGTTTAGTGTATACAATTTCTTTAATTTTAAAATATTATATAAATATTTCAAATTCATGGAAAAATTAAACGATAAAAATTTTAAAATAATAGCCAGGGCCGGCGAGAGGGCGGGGCAGGTGAGGCCAGAGCCCCGGGGTCCGAGCCTCCAGGGGGCCCGTTGTCTGAGGTGTATTTTTTAGGCACAGTCGCTCAGGCCATATAGGTCCGGGTGGTCAATTTTACTAATTTTTAGAGTAGAAAAATTATTTTTATACAAATTATATGTTATATAATTTAGAATTACAAGTTAGGTCGTTTAATAAGAAAATCACAATGTATCACATAATATGTCTGATTAAATTTTTACATATTAGACATTAGTTGTAATGACGTATTTACATAATGTACATCGCATTCCGAGATTATTGTTATTTTCTTCAATATTAATAAGGATTATATATAAACCAAACATTATATATATTTTTTTTATTCATAATTCATTAAACTTAAATATTAAGTATAGCTACTGTAATAAAGTGTTATGTATATCTTTGTAAAATATGAAATAACTATAAGTAAAGAGGCCCGGAATTGATCAGCCCCGGGGTCCACAAAAGTTCTAGCCTGCCCTGATAACAGCTGTTATTTTTCCGAAACAGAATTTATGAACGATCAATTTGTAATATAAATTTTTATTCATAGTTCATATACACGTATTGAAATTACTTTTTTGTCAAATTAATTTTGTTTTAACAAAAATGCATAAATATGTATTTGTGAAAATAACTTTTGTTTTACTACTTCACTAGGTATTACCTTGTGTTGTTTTTGTGCCATAGCCCAGGCTTAGGACGTAAAATATAGTACAATAGCAATAAGTCGTTAGTTGTAATTTATTAATATTAATCTATATAGTTTAATGCGTGTTGGATCTTAAGTAGGAAATGCGTATTTTGTGGCAAACACGATAACAAATTAAGTTCTTAATCACTGTTTAATGACAACTATGATTAAGTATATTTAACTAATGCACGCAATTAGTTATGAGAGTACAAGAATTTAAAAATACCTGGATGAGAGTTGTATCCAAGAAACCGTGTACGAACCCGGATCGATTGGAATAAACTCGATGACGATGTCTCGTGAAGAATTCGACATGACGTCTCTGGTGTGCCATCCATCTGAAAACACCTGAACACACGGTGATCATACATTTTTGGTTCTCTCGGGCTTTGACAATAACATTATGATATCACACAGGGCACGACAGCGGGTTTTGAAAAATTAAAGAGCTCTGTGATCACACGTTGGAATAGATCAAATACAACGATCTGTCTCTCGAATAAAGTTCTTGTTCATATGAAGTTTAATACTATTAGTAGTCGTGAAAATTTTGCCTATATACCATAAATATTTGTCGTTACCGCGTCCAAATTCGTGTTGTGATAGGCGTACAATTATATTTTTGATTCAAATTCAATATTGCTGTCGGGAATAATACGTAAATAATAAAATTGGTTATTCGAGGGATTTTATTGCGCTTGTAATAATTTAATATCATATTTATTTTTTATTTTTAGATAAAATTTATGTACTTTGTCTGTAATTCTAGGTGCACGAACTTACATCAAAATTCGTCACAACTCATTGCCGCACTCTGTGTTATTTTTTTTTATACAATAATACGACAAGTATCGTAGAGTATTGTGTTAAAGTTTTAAATTTATGATTAATTTATGTCAAACCTCGACTGTGTAGTACGGATCCGGACAAATGACTGTGTGAACCGTGTCGCCGGCGTGCACTATAAACCGATTATTGGTCGGACAGTGTACGTGCTGTGTGTTGTTGGGCACCGCGTGCGACGAATCCGGCATCGCCAGTCCGGGCAATTTAGCGTACAGATAACTGTTGGTGTACTTCTGCTGGGTGAGTATGACAAAGTGAGATTCGCACGTGGTCTGAAACGAAACGATATTTTATAAATTTTGTTTGCTACGTTGTTTTGCCACGACAATTGACAAGCAACGCCGAACGAATTTAACTACATAAGTAGACAATATACTCGTAATGTATAAGCACAGGGTAGAAGGTTTATTATAAAGGTTAAATAATGCACTACAGTAACGTATCATCATCGGAGCTTACGTTGTGATGCGAGTGGAATGTAAAATGGCCGCCAGGCCCAGTCAGTAGATTGCTTTTCACCTCGCAACGTTTCGGCACCACCTCTCTCCTGACGAACTGCACGGCGGCCTCGAAGTAGTGAAGTCGGAAGTCTTCGGTAGAGTTCATGTTGGACACTTCCCACACCATCGAAGCCTTTGAGCCCAATGTGACGAATGAGTACGGCAACAGTGACGCGTTGGTTGAACACAAACAGTGTCTGGGCACTAGCATGGTCTTTGGGCCGTTTATCTCATCCAAAACGCTTAGAGACGATCCGATGTCGCCCACGCACTGTAAAGTACCTCGGTCTTTGTTCAAACGGCTATAACAGCTCCGGTCACCCGAGCCGATTTTCAGTATTGTCACCTTAGCCACATCACCTGGCTGTCCTTCTAGTCTGAATACGCAACTTTATAACAACATAAAAAAAAAAATTTTTAAAAATATGTCCCACATCGTTACAACATTGATGTTTTCGTATTTGCATCGATGAGGTATTTTCAATCGTTTAAGATCAATTAGAATATTTTTTTGTTGATTTTAAAATTCAAAATTTAACTAAAACGTACTTTATACTTACGTAAAATATAATCTATTTTATATATTAAGCAAAGTTTAGTTAAAAAAAAAAAAAAAAACCCGTGTAAAGACTACTAACAAGGTATTTTTGAATGATAATGGAATGCAAAATAAATATTTGCGACTTTAAGTTAAAGTACATAAGCGATAAGCACACTAACATTAGCGTGATGCAAATAATATGAATATACGATTACAGTTGTTCAAACAAGAGCGTACATTTATTTAAGTGATGCGTTTAGTATTTAAAATAAAATATAGTATAAATGATTATTATTCCCGTTTGGATAATTTTTGTAAGGGTCGTGAATTACTGTCTTTATTTTATACATAATATATCCGATAAATATTCCAAATGTCTGGGTGTATGGAATTTTAACGGCTATTAAAACATCTAAAGTTGATAACTTGAACAATAATACCTCTTGTCAGATGAATCAATAAATTTTCGAGTTTCAAATAATAGAAACCGGGGATAGATACTATTCGTATTGTTTGGAATTGAAAGATATAAGACTAACAACGATATATTTTAGGCATTGTTTATATTTAGGGTGGACGGGTGGTGTTATTGAATACAATTGCGCACCTAAGTATATTAAACGTGTACGTATATAGTATAGGGAACATTCATGCATAATTTATAGTACCTGAATGTAATATCGAGCAATTAAGTTTACCTTAAATTTTTATTGCCTCCTCTTCCGTAGAAAAATATGTTTTTCGGTGAACGGATAGCTATTGTACTAGAAGGCGAGTGTGTGGGCCTCCGGAAAATCCTGGAGCACATGCTTCCAGTGTCGGGCCACGAGCTTCCATCCTGGTGCAGGTCGACGAATTCGTAGAGAGCTTTAAACGATACCGGTCTGCGGAAAATAATGATCGCGTCAAAACGGTCGTTTATCTCCGCTATCACTTATACTGTACAAACACTAACACTACCACCACCACCACCTCCTTCACAACCACCACCACCACCTCCACAACCATCACCACCACCGCTGCGTATCGATCACGTAAGCTTTTACTACTAAAGTAAAATGTCTAAACCACTCATCAATCTAACGATAAAATCATAGTGTGTGCACTATAAACACATTTTGTTACGGTAAACGTCTTATACCTGAGAGCTGTGGCGTGTTGAATGTTCAACTGGACTGTAAGCGACCGGGACGTAGACAGAAAACTTTCGGATAGCGTGCACGGACGCTGTTGCCGGGTCAACAGGAAATGATCGCAAGACCTTGGCGTTTGTCCGGGACAGTAGTTGGCCAACAGGGTGCTGTTGTTGTGCTGGTACGCGGACGACGAGACGTTTCTCGAATCGCTAAACGACAGGACGTAATATTTATTAATCGATTTATTTGTTAGTATTGACGGGCATCTATCTCTTTATAAGACGTATAAAAATAAAACATGTATAGGGAAATGAAAAAATTTATGACTTCAATTTAAAAATGAATATTATATTATATTGTTACATATTATTATGTGTAAAATAGGCAGGTATGTATCACATGCAAAACACTTGTTGATAATATTATTATGTTACGATAAAGATGAAGGGTACTCGTCATGTATGGTTATATTGTTATGTATACGTGACTGCATGCAAGTCGTAAATGAGGTTTTAGAAAAAAGATACAATAATATCAAAATATTTTATCAAACCGTTCAACTCACCAAAACGGATGGCAAGAAAAGTTTCCGTCCCACACCATCAGGTTTGTCGTGCAGTCTCGGGTCTGAGGGCCCGTCACGTAGAACTTGAGTACGGATACCCATACTTTGTACCTGGGACCGGAGCCGGAATCACGATCTACCGGATATCCTGCAGCCGCAACACCAGTCGGAGTGGCTTGTAGGTGATACCAGCACGTCGTGTTCTCCGGCAAAGAGTGGTAAGGCGCGTGCAACCAACCGCGGCCAGTGTTCCGTATCCAGAATTCACACCGCTTATTCTTGGTGTACTTGATCGATTCGATTTCCACAAAGTGTACCTTAATGACAAAGTATTGCGTAAATTAAGTGCCAAACGATCATTCACGAAATGAAATTATATTTTAATTTTTACCAATTTTAATGAATTTTTATATTCTTAATTAATATGTATGCGCGCAGTAAAAATTATGATATGCTAATCATTTGTCTGATGTATTTATAAAAATATTTAAAATTTTAAATACAATTTTTTTTCATAATTTATAGCATATTTTCTTTGGCATACCGTTAATTTAGCGTGGTAATTAAAGCGCACGAAAATTAAGCGCAATAAATATAAAATTTAGAAATATATTTATATTATTTAATCGAAAGAATGTCCACACTATAATACATAACGCTATTGGTACAATAGCAGCAGTAATTATCATCTGTTTATACTTAGATAATCGAGATAATCTGATGTAACTGGCATAAAATAATTTAGTGTAATATCAACTGGGGTTAGTGTAGAACATCACCTGTAGAACTATATTACAGTATAAAAATCATAGTTTTTAAAAAGAGAATGTTTTTGCAATATATTATATATAACAAGTCAAAGAGGACAACAATTACTAGTATACAACAATACTTATTATAGTTATAGTTAGGACAGATGAAACGAAAACAAAATAATTTGGAGGTGTAATGAAAATCAAATGAAAATAGGACGGGTACGTTCATAAGATAAAAAAATTGTTTTAATCGTTTGAAAGAAGAAATAAGTATTGATAAGATAGCAATCGAACAGCTTATTGCTGGAGATGTACCACCTAAAAAATCGGAGTAAATTAATTTAGTATATTTTTTAGTAAACGTAATGCGTTGACTTGTCTTGTATGTTAATGTCATAGCGTTATAGTATCGTTCGCCGAGAACATCACTGCTGAATTATCGTGTGCTAAAATGACTGCGCTAAATTTTGACAGATCCGTTTTAATTTTTTCCTCAGTATTTATAAGTCTTTTATTTCGTGGATACTTGTTTAATTATTGTTATTCTATATTTCTATTTGCTCGCTTATTTCTTTAAGATACGCAATTATTTTGGACTGAATGCTGTCTGATATAAATGAATTAATGTTTGACTTTATACTTATCCTGGATTTTGTATTTTATTTAATATTGAAAATATATTTCCATGAGTAATGCAATTGCATTACAATTGCATTGCATTGTTCCGTTAATTTACATTTCATTGTTTATTAGACACATATCATAAAATTAATCAAGCTTTATATTGTTTGAAATCGATTTTCGATTATCTCATTTTTATAATGAATACTACCCATCAAATATTTATTTTCAAATGATTTAACTATAGGTAAACACAGATTTAGGTAATTATTTTTTTTTTTAGTTTCTAGTCTTGTTTTGATGAATACAATAAATTCTCGTTTTGTGTACTGCTCGTTCATCATAAAACCTACCTATTCTATTTTTAATCAGCAGTCTAGTACAATATTATCATCATGAATCATGATTAATTTATTTATCGTTATTGTCCTTTAGACACTTTTGTTAAACATTTTGAGCAAAGGTATTGATTTTGTAATATTGTGTATTATATAGACATATATTTTTTTTGTTATCGACCACTTTTTGGGATAGTAAAATATAGAGTGAATGTAACGAAATCTAAAGATTAAAAATTAATAAATTAACCTATGTACACATTTGAGAAAATTAAGTAAACAATGACTAGAAGTTTATGAAAAATAGTCATGATATTTATGATTAAATTTACATTTAATCGATTTATAAAATACACTTTGGTATTTTGTTTTATTTTAGAAACTATTATTGAAGTGTCCTTAAAGTATATTTATAATCGCTGCGGCGTAAATTAGGTGGTAAAAATATAGCACTTGCAACATCACATCTAAAATATGGTGGTACAAAAGTATGTTTTTGCACCACCAGAAAGCCATTGAAATACCTATGATATTATTTTTAATTTTGTAACTATCTTTTTTTGTATAGTATACATAAACAGGTAAAAAATTGTAATTTTTGTGCATGTACTAGACCTTATCAATTAAATTATTATTTAAAGAATTATATGGGAAAATATATAGTTCATTAGGAAAGATTTTACTTAGGAAGTTGGATTATTGGTGTGTCGGAAATTATAGATTGAGAATATATGCCTTTACACCACCAGAAATTGGGTTCAATTTACGCTATTGTTATAATGTATTATAATTTATTGTTATATATTTTGTATTATATACTTTAATTTCAATGATTAATCAATAGCATCGACGAATCTTTGTTATTAAAACTTAAACATTTACTTTGAATGGATACAATTACGTTTTAATTTTTTTAATTTCAAGATAAATCACACAGCGCAAGCGATATGTAAGATAAGTGTATTGTTTCAATTTGATAATAGAGTTTTATTCATTGAGATAAAACACAAAATCTAATTTTAAACTTTACAATCACCTTCTTGATACGTAAATTTCGAAAGACGACAACTGTGTTTACACAATGTAAAGACCTATCTTGGTTTTTTTGAATCCACATAATTTACTGTTCAAGCGTGAACTACGCTTGAAAGGTTTGTTTGTATTCCTATTTTTTTTTTTTTTTTTTGAAAAGTATTTTTATAATATGCCTTCAGGATTGAACCCTATCTCAAAAAGCAAGATAAAACATTTTGTGTTGTAAACGTTATCGCTTGGTCAAACATCTATTGAAATATCCTTAATTTGAATACACACTACAATATGTAAATATACTGCATATATTAACAGCGTACAGGATGTCTACAGATGAGTGGATATTGATTTTTATAATAAGTTAGCTTTTCCGTTTATATAAATATCTTAATGGAAAAGTTATCACGTGTTTTTATACAGTTCTTCGTGTTTATATTTTAAATAAAAATCATCATGTATTAAAGTGGTTTTAGTAAACACGATTTGTTGATGATAAAGTTCAATACAATTCTTAATTTAATGACAAAATATTGCAATAAAACTACATTTGTTGCTTATAACTGAAATTTTAGTTAAGTAGGTAGTAAAAATTTTACTTGACTATTATGGAAATTACGTATACTAAACAACAAAGATACAACCAGGTGAGCGAGGAAGTCGGGTGTTGAATCACTCTTTCCACCCTGAAAACTGTTTTTTATTCAATTTTCATTTTTCTATGTATAAAATACAATTTAATGGTATTGTACTGTTGAGTCTTAATACATAACCAGTGGTGGATCTAGGATTTTTTTATGGTGGGAGCTATTTTGTTAACAATAATAGTCTTAAATTACTTATCATGTACAATTTGTGCGTGATCACCGACCGGTGTTAGCTACTCCACGGTGCGGGGTGTGCGTTCTGGTAGCCCGTACCAAAAATTTACCACTCGGCGAATTATTAGTAATTTTTAATAAAAATACGCGAAACGGTGGGTGCTTCAGCTCCCAAGTACCCCCTCCCCTCCTAAATCCGCCACTGTACATAATTATCTGTTATCTATTTTGATTTGATATTGTATCGACGTCTTGATATAACTGTGATACTACTGTATTATGTATAGTAACCTAATACATAAGTTATAGTCCAGGGGTGGCCAACATGAATAGGTTCTCGGGCCACATAGAAAAATACCATAACACTAACAGCCAAAATGTTTATAGACACATTTTACATAATTTGATAATTTTTTATAATCTAATACCAAAAAAATTAAAATTTTTGATTTTATTAAATAAGATGTAAGCCGCATTTGACAATGACGAGAGCCATATGTGGCTCGCGAGTCGCAAGTTGACCACTTATGTTATAGTCAGTAACGGATCTAGGACATCTGACGCCCAAGGCTAATACAAATGCGGCGCTTTTACATGGATAGAGCTATGCAATGTGCTGAGTGTTAATAAAAGACAAAATGTTTAAATACAAAACAAAAACTATATTTTTATTTAAACCATTGTCATGAATTTTTTATGACAAAACCGTAATATTTAAATAAAACCGACCACCCAATAAGAACAAATGAACTATACAAAACATACTATAATATATCTGTATATCGTACATCGTACATCGTACTTCAATTTAACATTATAATAATATACAATCATCGTCAATCGTCGAATTAGGTAACCGATAAAGACTTAGTAACTATATTAAAAGGCGTTAATGCCGGACAAAAATATTTTAAAGATAAACATTGTAATATTATATTTTTAATAACCAATGCAGTGTAGTATTATTATTATTTTTTAATGGAATTTTGAAAATATCTCATAATTTATACATATTTTTTTTTTTATATATTTTATATTTATGGTTTTTTTTTTTTTAGTTTTTATAAACGCTTTTATACTAACAGTATATAAATACCTACTTTCCCTTCCCCATGAGACTCGACACTAATCATGGTAAGTACTAATCATAGTTTAAAATATATCGTGCTGACTGCTGACGTGTTATTAATCATTAACCCATATACCTAGTAGGTATATTATCTATTGATGTGCTAGACCTATAAACACAGCAAGTTGTACAATTTACCATTAATTATAGATAGTAGATATTACAAAATATGATAAAATTAATAATGCATCGGAAAATATTATAAAGTGTTTATTATTGTTATTTTTTTTTTATAAAATAATTAATAAATATGTATAATTCCTAATTTTTTATTATTGAAATTATTTCATCATTAATTCTTACTTGTTTTATGCGAAAATTAATTGTTTGAAATTGATAGTATGTGGCAGTGCTGGATTTAAATTATCTTACTAAAGATAATTTGTGGAATTATCCTTCTTTTATATCTAGATACCTTTTTATTTTATTTGGTGATAAAATATGAAAGTTCACTTAGAATAATACACAAAAATTCGTCCTTTCCTCTTATTTTTCGATGTTTTTGACATTTTTAGTAGGAGAAGTAATACGTGAATAAAGAATACTCGAGAACACTGCATTATATTGTTCATATAATATTTATTCTCCATTACATAATACATTAACTCATTCATATTGTCATTTGATGTATTTTAATATCATAATATCTTTAAAATACCGGGAAAACGATAATAATGATTGTGTATGGCAGGGACGGTAAAGCTTTTTTTATTATTAAGTAACTACCACCACGATTAATTTTTGTGTGCGTAGCCAAAAAATAAATTATAACACGATCGACGTTGAAATCGTTTGCGATCGACTGTTTGGCCGCCCTTGGTATACGGTGTATCTGAATAGTCTATCTAAAATGCCGCGTGACAATATTAAAATATAACAATTGTGTATTATTGAAATATTTCAAAGAATAAGTTTTAATAATAATAATTATGTAAGCTTATTATTACTCTTCAAAGAAACTTAGGTATATAAAAAGTCGAATAAGTAAATCAAAAAAAAAAATCATAATAATAAAATGTTTTTATAAAAAAGTATTATATTATTATTATTTATATAAAATTTGCACAAAAGATCATATTGTACGTAACCAATGAATCCTAAGTACATAATATTACTATTGTACTTGATATAAATATTTAAATAATGGCTTAAGAAATAAGCTCACACTATAATTAAAACTTAATTTTAATAATAAAATCATGGCATTTTAGAAAAATTGTGCGTTTCAAAAATAATTTATGATGTACCTACAGTGGCTAGAAATATAATCTTAAAACGAAATAAAACTGATTTTAACTCATAATATTAACGTTCTTTACGACAATGTGCGCATACTTAATATCTATTACATTAAAAAGTAATTTGAACGTTTTATTCATGCGCGAGAACAATATAATAATCGTGTGTTCAAGCTTATTAAATTATTCTAAGTTTGTGATGCACCGCCAGATGGACCTCTTATTTATGTTATGACACCTTGATAAAAACTAATTATAAGTTTATTATTCTAAATAAACTTTATGAGTTAAAGCGATTTTATAATTACATTATTGTTCTCAAATCTTAATACACAACAGACGTACAACTTCTGGTGTAGACAGTAAGGTATTGTAGTTTATATAATTATAAAACCAATACTTAGTATCGTTTACATTTATTAAAAACATTAATCCAATTTTGTTGTTATTTTATTTTTTTAAATATTTATTTTAATTGCACATTAATCGAAATCATTAGAAGTGTTTTCTCAGTTATTATTTCTCAATTAATTTTTTTTTAAATATATTTAACTTAAAGTTTAACCAAGGATTAAAATATTTTTTTACAAGAAATTCTATGTAATTATACGGTACGTAATTTAAATTCGTAAATTTTAATATAAATTCGGTTGATATGTAGTAATTTACAAAACATAAAATATATACGATTTATACGAGTATTGGATTTGTGTTTTATTGTTTAAAAAGTTTTGATTAAATTCATAAGAATTCAATCAGATAAGAAAAAGACAATTATATCAACTTTACTGCATTCATAACGTCCTATATTACACACTATATTAGACTTATTATGATGAAAAACTTCGTTATTGTAAATTTAAATGAAATGTTGGCACGAATAGGGTAAATCGGCTCAAATAAATTAAACAAATACCAACATTATTTCTAACTTTCAAATGACAATCGGAATTTATAATCACTTTTTGGTTTATTTTTGAGATTAGGTAAACAACTAAATTTATCATAAACATTGAAAGCATATTAATAATATTTATATGAAAAATATTAAATTTATATACCTATATAGATGGATGAGTTATCATTTTATAACGTGTATCTCGATAATAATATAAAATATAGACAAAAAACTATATATTTTATAGTATATAATATATATTACTATTATACTCAGAGCGGACTAAAAGGTTTGCCAGAAGTTACCGTTAATATCAAGTCTTAAAATATTATTAAAATACGTTCGACATTTCTACTTACTTGTACTTGAAGTTGAAATCCGTGTAATGGACCGAACGGATACATCAGAGTGCCATATGGTGACGTTGAAAACTGAACTAACAGCTCAGGCCCACTAGACGTAGTCACTGGCACTGTTTCTCCGGATCCGCAGAACCTCAATAAAATTGGATCTCTGGTCGTGTATCCGTCATAAACGGTTACAAAATCTGGTACATTGTCGCACTTGCTCCAGTCCTGAATAGATTTTATTTTCAACAAACGTGATATTATGTTTTTGGGCTGGGTACAGATATTTTGATTTTCTGACTTTCTGATTCTAACTGATCTTGGGCAATCATTACTAAGTATCACTACTTTTTATGTTAAGTACTTAACTTATAATTAATTTACAGTTAATTAAATACCTAATACTTTTTAGTTAACAACCATATTTTATATTTATGACTGAATTTAAGATTTTAGGTATCTAAATCTTAACCTTTAAGATACCTTAATTGAAAAAATAATAGTGAATATTTCAAAAACATAGGTATATATATATAATATATATTATTCATAAACTTTCCTAGAAATGAAAAATAATGAGTATTATTTTTTTAGTGAAAAAAATATTAGTAAAATCGAAATACTTCATAATTCTTCTGCACAATAATACATTTTATGATCTAGGTATTTCAAATTAATTTGTTAACAGTACATTATACCATGCGAAATGTTCAAAGTTTAATTTTTCAACAGTTTAGCATAAAGTTATTTATACAGAGTCATTTATTATTAAAAGGGTTCTATTGGGAAACAATCTTGTGTAGGTTCATTAATTGTTAAAACAATATTTTACTGGAAACTCTTTTGTACCACAAATTAAACGAATTAATTAATTGAAAACGTATTTAGTGGGAAAGTAATAAGGTCAGACATATAGTAGATAAAATTGAACACTTTTGTCAGAATTTAAAAATAAATCATCAACTTAAAATTTAATTTTATTTTTAAAATATTCTTTTATAAACCGAAGATGCATATATACGTGTTATTATATTCCACGAAAAGTTGAGAATATATTGTCCTTTATTTAGATTGAAAATTATTTGATATGCAGAGCTGTTGATCGTATATGTATAAGTTATTATAACGAATATTGAACACACTATCTACGTAGCGATTTAAAATAATATTTTGAGGGAGTTATGATGTAAATTCTTTCAATTTCCGATTGAATATCATACTACGGAGATATGATATTTAATATTTGTCGTTATTGATTTTTATACGACGAAAAATTCACAGTGAAACGATGTAATTTCCCAAACGTTATAATTATCTATTTGAATATAACAAAATATAATGTGAAATCGGTTGATTAATTTAGGAAGATATTAATAGATAATAAGCGGTTGTTATAAACTCTACAATGAACTTTCCACATCGTACAACTATTGTATTTATTTCAATGCGTGTAATAATTGTTCTTAACGAATTACGTTGAAAAATGTTTATAGTCAATTTCTTATCTTTTACTCATAGGACTGTTTTTTTGTTAGTGATCGTCACGCTAATTTGGCAGTATAATATAATCATACTTTAAATCGTATACAGAGATAATAAACTAGATTTATGATTGTTGTATGCTTACTCCTGAAATTAATGAAACCATTGTTTTCCGCTATCTCTGTGGAAATTAAAGTATTGTAAATTACGGATGTAATTTATGAAAATACTTATTTATACGTCTTTTCTTTCTTTCTTTCTTTTTTTTTTTTTTTTTTTTGATAATAGACTTATTGTAGAAAAGCCGAAATGTTCTGTGTTAAAACCTATAATTCCAATAAAAATAGCGGATTTTTGACTTCAACTATTATCATATTAAGTCAACAATCCAGTTTATTATCTATATCTGTGCTTGAGATACATACCAATAAGGTCATAATGTCTGTTGGATGGGAAGGGGTAAAGAGGAGAAAGATTTGGAAAAATAACTCGACACACTGTTCTGTGATTGACGGTAATTCACATACCTTCCGTTCGACGGGCTTTGGGTCGGCTCCTTCGGGATTCGTCCGGTCCGTCTTGATCGACACCAGGCGGCTGTACGGCTGCGTGATGGATATTAGCGCCTGGTGGCCGTACGGTATCGCGTGTTGACGGATCGCGTAGTAGCAAGTCAAGTTTCGGGGATAGAGCCCAGGGTAATTAGGCGACTGCAGCACGCACCTCTTCTTGTCGCAGTTGCTGAATATCCGCGAACAGTACGTACCCTCCATCAGTTCACCCATGTGAAACGATTCGTTTACTCCTGTGGCATACGAACGAGTGATATTAGGGAAAGGTTTAAGGGTAAAAAGCGGTAAATAATGCAATTAATCTGCACGTCAAAGGGTAATGCAATAAAAATTTAAGCCGATACGGAGACATCAGAGGCTGTATAGTTTCTAAAAAAAAAAAGCCAGTCGTCAGTCAACAAAGGCGTATTTATTTTTTTCCGCATAATTGACTGTGATATCATGTTATCCAATGGTTTCTGTTTAGTTTATGCAATGTACGGAAACCGTTGTCGGCCATCACTTACGCCTCTAAATTCTACACCGTTTAAGTGTTCTCCAATATTTCATAAGTCTAAATCGATTTATCGATTCCAGGAAAAATAAAATAAGTGATACGAAATAGGTTAGGTAATAATACTGTTTAGTTTTTATTTATCGCTAAATACAATTATCGGTGTATTACGACTTGTTCTTATATATTGTTATTTAACTAGGGTTCGCTGAAGTCTATATAATGTATATTTTAGAGTCTCTAAACTCGACCGAAAAGATGACGACCGTCATCTGAGCGAACTCCTGTCGTAAATAATATCTTTGTTGTATTGTTTTATGACCGTTTCATGTTGTTTGTCATTCCGTCATGAAAATCGCAAAGCGAACAGACAGTGCAGCAGATTTATGTGCCAAACCCAATATAACAGACAGTTTTAGTCGTCTTAATTTTATATAAATGTGTTTACAATGGGTAATGAGTGATTACTATTCAATGAAATATAGTACTATAATTTATAGGCGATTGGGTTTACACTTAATATATTGCTAAAAATAACATTTTTTTTTCTTTTTAAGAGTTAAAATCATTTTTTTTTATTGGTATTGTAATATCAATTATAAATAATGTGATTTTATTTAAAGTTTAACTATAGGTCTCATCGAAAGTTTTATTTTTCTAATGCATAGACATATAAATGTTCAGATTTCCCTTCTCAAACACAGACTGGTACTTATTTTTTTTTATAACACATCAAGTTGCTGTGAATAGTTATATCATATAAAACTAAATTTAAAAAAGTAAAAACTTATATTGAACTATTGAACAGTATCGATATAAAAGAGATTTCCGGAATATGGGCTAGGTACTTTATAGAAAAAAAGGTGTCGTGGTGATATTAAAAGAGGTATCTAAAGTAATTCTGAAAAAATATCAATTTTCATACCGGAAAACGGAAAACAGAACATAAAACATGTTCATTTATATTGATATGTATATAAACCCAAACAAAAAGAACATGTATTTTGATAAAATACTTTTTTGTTAAATAAACAATTTAAAAAAAAAAAGTCAATAAATAAAGTAAATACTTAATATAAACAATGTAGGTGTCAATGACCTAGTGATCGAGGTATGTTTCTTTAAATAAAAAGAAAGAAGTTCTAAGTTATAATTTTCTAACAATTAAATAACTATCACTGATTTTAATTTTAATTCTTCTGATTTATTATTAATAAATTAAAAATTACGCTGTGTGCATTTTAACTGGAGTAAATAATCTAAATGATCTACTGATATTTCAATAAAAGTTATAAACTAATATTTATGACTATTAAAAATACTTAAAACATGAAAAATAAATAAATAAGAGTGTCATATATTCAAATTTCAATAAATATCAATATTAATTAGGCTTAAATTTATATTAAACAAAAAAACCAACATATTTAAACAAATATTTATCCAAAAAAAACCTTTGGGGCAGTACCATATCAAGCTTAAAGCTATTATCGCAGACTACCGACAAAAAAGTAAATAACGAAAACTATATCTGGTATCTACATGGAGGTTCGGGGCGGGATTTTGTAGTATATATAATATATGTCACGAATAAAACCCTATAGCTTTATATTATGTGCTTCAGGTACACATATATTCATATTTCTGTTTGGTCTAATGCAGATAAGCATGTGCACAAAAATCTGCACCACTTTTAATTTAAATAAAACTTTTATACATGAAAAAAAAGGTTAATTTTAATCTACTTATCTTTAACATGATATAACCAATAATCGGATTATGATGTATACATTACAATATAAATTAAAACGAATTTAACCACGAAAAATGAACAAATCACAATTCGATCATTATTTTAAATTCAATTAAAATAATGTGATTCGTATTCATTTGGAGTAAAAAAAAATATTTTAAAGTCTACTCGATCAATTAAATTTTAACATATAAATATTAAACACTGTTCAAAATTAAGCAAAAATATTCGGATTGTTAAATTAATACATATTAACAGTGGCGGATTAAGCAATTTGCCGCTTACAAGCAGGGTATTTGCCGCCCTTTCATTTTATACTTTTTTTTAAAACAAAATACATATAGAAATACTTTGTTAGTTTAATAATTCTTTATTATATTAAATTTAATACAATCGTCAAATATTATATAATAAATTTATTAAAATATTTTTGTTCGGCTTTTTAGGTTAGCGAATGTTTCGATTAGGTCTTGAAAATCAATTGTCGACACTAATTCAGATTCGATGCAAAGAAGAGCCAAACTATTTAATATTTATTTTTGAAACGTTCATTGCGGATTATCTTACAATACACATTCCTATATTACCTAAATGCTACCTATATTAATATATTATAATATAATTTCGCACACTAAACACCACGGAGTTAGGTACAATAATACAAAAAAGAAATGCCTATTGGCGCACAAAAATAATACAACTGCGATTCGTGACTGTGATATCTCAAATAATTTTAAAACATCTAATATTATAAAAAAAAAACGTTGATTTGCGACTACGAATCGATCGATGGCGAAGTGGTACGAGGGCGATATTATATAATTGATATAACTTAATTAATATTATTTTATTCAAGCGTCGGCTGAGACACATTGTATTGTAAAATATTGTGCGGATGACGCCAATTTATTGGCAGGTTAACCTAACCGCAGTGAACGTGTCATCAAAAATTAAAAAAAAAATATATTTATTTTATAGAAATATAGAGTAAATTGTTTTTACCTGTTTTTAAATTTGTGAAAAAAGTATCGAGTTATCTTATTTTTTGAATAACCCTTTTCTCTTTTTCTTCATGCTTTTCTCGCAGCTTTTTGTATCTTGCACCACTTTTCCTTTTTCTACCATTACTCATTGTGATGTAATAATTTGAAGAATCATAATAAAAATGAATAAAGACTCGTACACAAGTTGCACTGTCTCAGTGTCGCGGTATACTAATAAGCAGAATAATGTTATGATAAGGATTAAAGAATATGTATAACATTCTTTGTAATTGTAAGTAATAGAATCACGAAAATAAAATATAATTGACAAAAACAACGTCGTATCGGCTATCGCCATAATGTATAATATGTGTAAACATATATTTAATATAAACGGTTTCTGAAAAAAACATAGATTCGCTAATAATAACAATTACAGTTGATCGCATTCATTGAAACCATTCCAGTATCTTACTGAGTTAATAACCTAGTTGCTAATACTCATTACAGTCATAACTAAGTCATAAGACATTATAATATAATTTTATGAATACATTTTTTTCTTAAGTGCGGCAAATTTGCCGCCTTAACAAATTTGCCGCTCCAATCACCTGATTGTTTTGCCTGTAGGGTAACCCGACGCTGCATATTAATCATATTTTGTATTTATGCATAACGTTTAAATATTTTTGCTAAACAAAACATATTGTGTTGTGTATTTAATAAAACAAATATAAAGTTTAAAATACAAATAAGTCTGAATGGTTCACTACATATTATATTTTTCTGTAGAAAATAAATATGTACATATAACTATATGTAAATGAATAAATTATTGCATATTAGATTCTTAAAAGTCTGTTAAACACTACACATTTGTTCTCATTGGGTAATTTTTCAGGTGAATTTAACGGTATTTATTATCAAATTCTCACTTAACGATTAGAGAGAACATTATGAAATTTTAAACTTACTGACACGAATTTTTTAAAAATTGTTTGATCTAGTTAACGTATAAGCATTAATGGCAAATAACTCATTAAAATACTCCGAAGTTTACTTTAACAATTGAACGAGTAGTAATGTATTGCATTGTGGTAAAACTGCCAGCATTTTATTTTCATTAATCACACTTCTTCTTACTGTGAAATTAATTCAAAAACTCGAGAAAGCCACTCTGTTGTATAGTATAAATATCAAGTTCATGTCATTATAATGGGTGTATTAAATTTGAATTCAATAATAAATCGTTACATAAGAAAAACGATTTCGAGTGGAAATGGTAGGAAGGGATGGTATTTCAAGGGATATTTTATTATTTTATTATATTAGTTTTAAGTTATAGCACTATTAGTACTTATATGGTAGGTTGGTTTAATTTTTGATAAAAATACCATTTATTTTATATTATATTAAAAATTATTAGTAGTACAATTCAAATAACATCATGGTATAGTTTAAAATTAGTTTTAATATTTTGAAAATAACATTATAAATAGAAAGTAATAAAACACGTAATGGAGAAAAAGTTTCGAGTTCTTAGGCTTAATATATTTTTAATTACCTATAACAGAATAAAAAAAAATAATAAGATACATTTTTTCTGCTTAATTTTTAGCATACCTTTCGAAAAAATTAAATAGCACACCTATAATAATTATAGATTGAAAATTGTCGCAGTTTTAGTACTTTAGTACTTTAATAAATGAAGATTGAAAAAAAATTACACAAATATATTTGGAAAATCAAATCATTCATCATTGCTATATAGTTTGAAATTGCATAAGTAGGCACTCAATAATTACAAACATAAAAAATAAAATCAAAAAATATTTAGACCATAGGGGTTGATATTATGTTTAAAAAATATGCGAAAACTTTAACGGGTGATTTACTTTTGGCCTCTTCAATATTTAAAGCGAATCTAATGGTGGGTTAATGTTATAGAAGTCCGATCCCTATGATTGATGAGAAACGTCGTTTAGTATTGTATTATGGTTACCA